GAGATGAAGTCTCGTATGCGTGCTACAGCACCAATCAGATCAACCTTTGTTCACAAGCGTACCGTCACTCATGTCACTAGTGAAAGCAGCAACTGCAACATACTAACAAGACACAAGTGCTGGCTTTGCTCAAACTCTTCACACTGGCCAGATCAATGTATAAAGTTTGCTGGGCTAAATGTGAATGACCGTCACAAAGTTGCCAGAGAGAATCATGTTTGTTTTAGCTGCCTGAAAAAAGCTGGAAGAGATCACAAAGCCGCCAATTGTAGTCGTCGCAAGCAATGTCCAGTCGTTAAAAATGGTATACGTTGCAACGGTTTCCATCATCATCTTCTGCACAAAGAGGAAAACGGCACAGTAGGAGTCGGAGTTGCCATCGCATCTGATGACGGAGAAGCAATCCTTCCAGTTATTACAGTCAACATTTCCAATTCAAGAGGTTTCTTCAAACGAGGAAATGTATTGTTAGATTCAGGAGCACAAATCAGCTTGATACGTCAAGAGACAGCTGAAAAACTAGGACTTAAAGGTCAAGATGTATCAGTCAACATTACAAAAGTTGGTGGAGAGGAAGAAACATTAAAAACAAAGAAATATACCGTTACAGTTTCCCAAATCAATGACCAGAAACAGTATTCAGTCAAGGCAATTGGCATTCCAATAATAAGTGATGGTATCAAATCTGTCAACACATCCAGACTACAAGAAATTTTCGGACTGCAAGCAGAAAAGGTGAGAAGAGGAAATGGCCCAGTGGACTTGTTAATCGGCATAGATTATGCTTTCATGCATTCAGGTAAAACAAGGCAAGCTGGCCATTTGATGGCTCGACAGTCTCCACTTGGATGGGTATTTTTTGGAGCAAGACCAGGAGAGACATGTGAGGTAACAAGCATACTTCATGTGAAGTATACAGAACCAGTTGACCTTGCTGCCTTTTGGACCACGGAATCAATGGGAGTTAATATGAAGCAATGTATATGCACTGCAGACAAACTGAGTGAAACTGAGAAGGAAGAGGCCAGAATCATTGCAGAATCGTGTGTTAAGGTGGAAAACCAATGGCTAGTTCCATATCCATGGAAAGAGGATCCCAATCTTCTACCTGACAATAAACAACTGGCAGTGAAGCGTTTAGAATCAATGGAACGTCGATTGAAGATTAAACCCGAACAAGCAGAAGCTTATGATAAGCAAATGAAAGAAATGAACGAAATGAACTTTTCACGTAAATTGACAACTGACGAATTAAAAGAATATAAAGGCCCTGTGCATTACATCCCCCATCATGCAGTCCTAAGACCAGAGAAGAAAAGCACACCTGTCCGAATCGTGTTCAACTCATCCTCAGTGTTTCAAGGTCATCAACTCAACGATTATTGGATGAAAGGCCCAGACTTATTGAATAACCTGTTTGGAGTCAGTCTGCGTTTCAGAGAAAGAGAAGTAGCATTGATTGGTGACATATCAAAGATGTATCATCGAATATTGATACCAGAACAAGATCAGCATGTACACAGATTTCTTTGGCGTAATTTAGAGACACACAGAGAGCCTGATGTTTATGTCAAGACAGTTCTTACATTTGGGGACAAACCAGCCCCAGCGATGGCACAGATTGCTTTGAGAAAGACTGCAGAAGAATGTAAAGAAATCAAACCGAAAGCTGGAAAGGTGCTGACAGAAAATGTTTACATGGATGATATATGTGAATCAGTGGAAACGGTAGAAGAAGCAAAGAAGCTAGCAGAGGATATAGATTTTGTTCTGAAGAACGGAGGTTTCCAAGTCAAAGGATGGATTTCAAACAAAGAACTGCATGAAAACAGCAAGCATACAGGAGAGTCAGATGCAAACAATATGCTGAAAGAAGAAGCAGATGAGAAAGTACTTGGAATTTCTTGGAACAGAAAGTCAGATACGCTGTCACTTAAAGTTGACTCTGACTTGATGAAACTCATTGATGAAGAAAAGCATCTAACAGAGAAGGTAAAACTAACCAAAAGAAGACTACTGTCTGAAGTTGCAAAGATTTACGATCCAATCGGATTGGCTGCTGCATTTATTATCAGAGCTAAGATTGGAATACAGGAACTATGGCAGACTGGAATTGATTGGGATATAGAAATTCCTACAAATATGCGAGGGAAATGGATTGAACTGTTTAAAGAGATGAAAGAGCTCAACAATATTTCTTTCAGAAGACCATTGCTAACAACAGATGTCAAAGAAAAACCATCATTGTGTTTGTTTTCAGATGCGTCACAAGAAGCCTTTGGAGCATGTGCATACCTTCGACAGAAAATTGAGAATGGCAAATTTGATGTTAGATTCGTTGCTGCCAAAACAAGAGTTGCACCACTAAAACAGCTAACCATACCACGCTTAGAGTTACAAGCTGCTGTCCTCGCATCACGTCTTGCAAAAACGATTCAAGAAGAATCAAGGATCGAATTCAAGGATGTTAATTTCTTCACAGACAGCTCGATAACATTAGCTTGGATTCAAAGTCCATCACGCAGTTACAAACCATTTGTATCATCCAGGATAGGAGAGATTCAAAGCAATTCAGACCCTAGCCAGTGGAAACACATTCCTGGGGAAAACAATGTAGCAGACGAGCTGTCACGAGGGATTCATGTACATGAACTGAACGGAAGATGGATGCACGGACCAGAGTTTCTACGAACTGCGGAAGGATTATGGCCAACAAAAGCTATTCCGTCGCCAGTCAAAGAAGACAGTGAACGTCGTAAAGCTACAAAAGTCTGTTTGTCGATAAACACAAAGCCTGAAAATGTTATCAATTATGACACAGTCTCCAGTTGGCCGAAGCTTATACGAGTTTATGCATGGATCAAAAGACTAGCTGAAAATATCAGACGCCTTAAACGTCATGTACCGTTTAAATATGGACCACTGAAACCCGAAGAACTCCAGAAATCAGAGTTGTTTCTGATCAAAGATGCACAAAAAAGCTTACATAACCGTTTAAAGAAAGGTGAATTCAAGTCACTCAGTCCTTTTGTTGACGAAAATGGAGTTATTAGAGTTGGAGGCAGAGCAGATAAAGCGTTATTGTCTTATGAGACAAGACATCCAGCCCTACTGCCAAGTTATCATAGGATTTCACTGCTGATAACTAGACACGTACACCAACACGGGCACACCGGAGTTGCAACAACCACAGCAAAGATAAGGAGGAAATATTGGATACTTACAGGCAACAAAATAAGCAAATCTGTTAAATTCAAGTGTGTGTTCTGCAGAGAATTGGCACACAAAGCAGAAGAACAACAAATGGGAAGCCTTCCTGCAATTCGACTGACACCGCAAACACCACCATTCTACTACACAGCATGTGATTATTTTGGACCGTACAATGTTAGAATTGGACGTAATAAAACAGCAAAGCATTATGGTGTCATATTTACATGCTTGAGTACAAGAGCAGTTCACCTAGAGCTAGCAACCGATTGTTCTACAATGGAATTTTTACAAGTACTGAGAAGATTTTTCTGCATTCGAGGCTATCCAGCAGTAATTCTGAGTGACAATGGAACACAGATGGTTGGTGCAGAGAGAGTTTTGAGAGAGATGATAGGGGAATTCGACACTGACCAACTTCAAGAGTTTTGTGCAGGGAAAGGCATAAACTGGATTTTCATCACACCGGCAGCACCACACCAAAATGGATGCGCAGAAGCACTTGTAAAGAGCAGCAAAAGAGCATTAAAAATCGCTATTGGTGAACAAGTTTTGAGACCCTTTGAATTATACACTTGTTTGATGGAAGTTGCAAACTTGTTGAACCAACGCCCAATTGGTAGAATTCCAAATGATCCAGATGATGGAGCCTACTTATGTCCAAACGATCTTCTGTTAGGAAGAGCTACCCCAGAAGTACCTCAAGGCCCATTTCAAGAAACTAAAGACCCACGTCAAAGGGTAGAGTTTGTTCAAAAAATTGTAAAATCATTCTGGAAACGATGGATACGAGATGTTTTTCCATCACTTGTTCCACTAAAGAAATGGCACATGGACCGCCGCAATGTCCAACCTGATGACACAGTTATTGTTGCCGAGAGCAACGCAATCCGAGGTAAATGGAACATTGGAAGAATCCTTGAAGTATTCCCGGGACCTGATGGACGAGTGCGCAATGTAAAGGTAAAAACAGCAACAGGAGAATACAGTCGCCCAGTGACAAAGATAGCAGTTATATGCCCAGCAGAAGGATATGGATAAATAACTTTACATATTTGATAAGGACCACGCCCTTATCGGGGGCGGAGGATGTTTCGTTGATTATATATTCTTAAAGGACATTATTATTATGTTGACAAGTTGCTTTGTATTATCCCGCTCTGTTTTATTCTTATGCAAATTAGTTTTAGTTAGTAGTATTCACACGTTGGAAAATAGGACACGATCGTTACCGCATGCTAACCAGGAATAATATTTAGACAGAAACCAGCTTATCAAAGACACTTTAGAGACATCACCATAAGTAAGTAAGTTTATTTTATTGTATTTTCGTATTCAGTTTCCATTCCAGTTATTCAGTTTATCGCCGCTGTAAGACGTTTTGTATTTAAACTTATTCGATCTAAACAAAGTAATTATGAATATAAT